GCAATCTCTCTTTTGATTTTAGGTCAGCAAAGATACTTGGTGTCGCTCAGCTGAGAGGTGGCGCCAATACTTAGATGAAATCACTTCTCCAATTACAAGGAAGGATGGAGAACAAATAACCACAGAATCTAGGAACTAAAGGAAATTCGGGCCAGGGTCTAGTCGAACCTTGGAGAAGATATTCTCTTTACCATATCCCTAAAAGGAAGACTTGTAGTGAATAGGGAACTCGTTACCTTGTCTTCATCTACATCAGTAACACCCAAATGTTAAAAGAGTTAGTCCACTAGAGGAAAGTGAGAGCCAGAGCAAGGGACTTGCCCAATGTCACTCAGAGACTGAGACACTCCCACCGTTCACGTTTCGCCAGCAGGCGATTACAAATAACAGGATGGCAGTGCTTCTTTCCCCGAACCTCTATCTGTACCAACTCTCAGCGGACCTTCCCGCTTCCATGTCACAGGTGAGGCTCAGAGTGGGAGAGAGACTTGTCCAAGGTCACACAGTGGGTTGGGGGCGGAGCCGGGATTGGAACCTGGACCTCTGTTCCCTCTCTCAAACCCCCCAAGCCCCAAAGCGGGGCTGGAAGCTCCACTCACCGGCAGCTCTGGAGCCGCTTCCCGCCTCAGGCCGGGGCCCCGAGGGCCAGACCCTTGCCAGATCCCTCGCGCCTCCTCTAGACACCCAGCCTACGCCTCCACGGCTCGAGCGGCTTCTGCCCCTAAGCTTCAGGCGCCGGCAGGCCCCTCACCCCCCCGGCGCCGGCCACGGAGCGCTCACCTGGGAACCCGCGCTGCTCCGGGAGCCCCGCCCCGGGGCCGCCCCCTTCCCGCCCCTGCGCCCTGGGCCGCTCTCGCCGGGCCTACGCCTCGTCTCGGTAGCCACGCCACTTCCTCATCCGGGATCGCGCCGGAGGCGGGGCGTCGCGTGTGGTTTCTCTCTCTGGCCACATCCCCGCGTCTCTCGCCCATGGGCCGGATGGCCGCCAGCCTTAGGGAGGAAGTCCTTTACCTCCCAGACGACCTGAAATAGCTCATTGCCCAAGAGCTTCGTTGCTGACTTAGTGATTCTCCAAGTGGTGAAACCCGGGCGAGTCTCCCCCAATCTCGCTGAACTCCGTTTCCTTGTGTATAAATGAGATTAATGACTCGCCTGGTCTGCCAGGGCTACTGAGAGGCGCAAAAGACAATTTCTGAGAGACTTTTGTAAAATGCAAGGGGATGAACACATGAGATTTAGTGCGATGGCCCCTGCTGGGAAGTATCCACTTTGGAAGTCTTTTCAAACCCTTCCAAACCACAAAAGACATTCTGCGCCACTCCGGTTATTAATAACAATAGCTGTCATGGCTTCGCAGACATTCTTATGCAATCGTCGCATTCCTAGTAGGTGGCAAATACCATCGAATTTCACAGACGCGGAAACCGATCCTGACTTCTCAGATGGAAACGAGGATGGATCCTGAGCCCTTCTAGTGCAACTTGCTCCGAAAGCGGAACATTTAACCAGTATCCTCATGTCACACCCAAGGCTCAGCCTAAACTCCATCTGTCGGTACATCTTTCCTCAAGGAGAGAGCCATAGCTGACCAAGGGCTCCTGACAAGTTGCCAGCTCCACCTGTTACCACCTGGTCCGGTTCACCATATTTCTCACCTAGCCGTCTGCAATTCTTCGGGGCCTCCCTGCTTCCACTCTGGCAGCTCCAGAGATCTTTTTATTACTGGAATCAGTGTTTTAGGTCGCACCATTCCCCTACTAATCACACTGACAACTACATCTAAATGACACCCCTACATCCAGTCAGTTACAGCACCTTGTTTTAATTTCTTCGTAGATTTAACAATAGCTGTACCAGTTTCCGATAGTTTTGAGGAAATTTACCGATGTCGAAAGAAAAAAGCGTGGTACACCACTGGGATACTTGTAAGTGGACCAAGACACCCTTGTGGCAAGACAAGCAAGAGCTTCCTTAAGCATGAATGCCTTTTCCAAGAATGTCCATAATTGGTGTTATATCTTAGAAATGCAAAACTTATAATTTTGGGGGTTTTTTTGGCGGCTGGATGATATGTGGATCTGAACCCGTGACTTGGTGTTATAAAGCTGCAGTCTAACCAACTGAGCTAACTGGCCAGCCAACTTTTTAATTTGGCAATTCTCATTTAAAAAGAAAAAAAAAACCTTCAAAACTTTGAGGTTTTGGGGGCCGGCCTGGCCCCGTGGCTCACTCAGGAGAGTGTGGTGCTGGTAGCGCCGAGGCCGCGTGTTCGGATCCTATAAAGGGATGGCCGGTGCGCTCACTGGCTGAGCTTGGTGCAGACAACACCGTGCAGAGGGTTGCGATCCCCCTACAGGTCCAAAAAAAAAAAAATGTCATAGGGGTCAGCCTGTGGCTCACTCAGGAGAGTGTGGTGCTGATAACATCAAGGCCATGGGTTCGGATCCTTATATAGGGATGGCCAGTTAGCTCACTTGTGATAGCGTGGTGTTAACAACACCAAATCAAGGGTTAAGATCTCCTTACCGGTCATCTTTAAAAAAAAAAAAAAACTTTGAGGTTTTTGTTTTTGTTTTTGTTTTTATTATCTAAAACTGGTCAGGGTTTTCACACAGTGGGTTGGGGGCGGAGCCGGGACTGGAACCTGGACCTCTGGCCAGAGAAGATAACCCCTAGACTGGGCATCTAAAGACCTGCCTTGGTTCTACAATTGCTGTGTTACAAGCAACTACAAGTTGCCTGTTTTTAGCTGTGCAGCCTTGCACAAGATACTTCACTTTTCTCAAATTTCTCTGTCAGATGGTAATGAAAAGTATATGTCCTTCCTCCTTCACAAGATATTTTGAGGGCCAAATGAGGTGAGGGACATTTTACATTAGGTCTTTGAAAGAAAAGATTTTAAGGTGCTATATAAATGTGGGGCATCATTAACCAAAAGCATGAAATTCATCAGGAAATTGGCTCTCCTCTGACTTTTAGGGGATTGAACAATATGTATGATGCTTCTTTTGGACCCTGTTGATGCCTAGTGCAGAGCTAGAAGCTAGAAATAGCACTGGGACTGGGGTGAGGCAAGTGAGACATTCACTTTGGCAGGTGAGGCTACTGAGACAACCTGAGGTACAAAATGTTAAGGGGGTGCCAAAAAACTCAGTAAGCAAGAGGAATAATATTTTAATGTGATATATTTTTTAAATCAAAATTAATACAAAGAATTCATGATGAACAAAATATCACAAATAAAGACAAGATCAATAATGATTCTGTGCAGAGCCATATTGGAGCCCGAGGCAAAAGTAAAAGCCAGTAATACTGGGTTTCTCAGAACTCCTCCTATAGGCAGTTGCCTGAGAAAGTACTTAAGGATGTGGAGACTACAAATTTAGATTTTTTTTTTATGGCAGCTGGCAAGTAGGGGGATCCTAACCCTTCACCTTGGTGTCATCAACACCAAGCTCTAACCAGCTGTACTAACCGGCCAGCCCCTAGAAATGTTTGAAAGTGAATTTCTAGTTAATTCATCCCAACATAATCTATGTCTATTAGAAAAACAGTGGCCGATATATGAACTGTACATATAAATGGATTATACATGCACTCAGACTGTAGACAATAGGGCTGGCATAGGAGTTCATATATCTCCAGCTCTAACTAAAGCTGGAAAAAACACTCTCAACCAAAAGCATGTTCACTGGCTCAAAGATATATATATCTTTATATATATATATATAAAGATATAAAACACTTTTTTGTTTGGGGGATTTTTTTTGCAGCTGGCCGGTATAGGGATATGAAACAAGGATATTTTTTTTTTTTTTTTTTTTTAAAAGATGACCGGTAAGAGGATCTCAACCCTTGGCTTGGTGTTGTCAGCAGCACGCTCAGCCAGTGAGCAAACCGGCCATCCCTATATAGGATCCGACCCCGTGGCCTTGGTGTTATCAGCACCGCACTCTACCGAGTGAGCCACGGGCCGGCCCGAAACAAGGATATTTTGATGAGAAGAGTGGGAAGAAAATCTCCCCCAAACCAGCTCCTTAGTCTACCAGGTTGACAAACTCCAAGAAGCAACAGCTATGTGTTTAACACAAAGCTATGTAATTTGGGGTAAGTCGATTTTATTCACTGGACCTCCTCAATTCCCTCCTGGGTAAACATTTTTTCTTTCCTTCAAACATCTGAGTGTCTACCTTTTTTTTTTTTTTTTTTAATGACTGGTAAGGGGATCTCAACCCTTGGCTTGGTGTTGTCAGCACCACACTCAACCAGTGAGCAAACCGGCCATCCCTATATAGGATCCGACCCCGTGGCCTTGGTGTTATCAGCACCGCACTCTCCCGAGTGAGCCACGGGCCGGCCCCGAGTGTCTACTTTTGCGCCCGATACTGCACTAGGTGCTGAGCATAGAGTGATGAACAAAGCAGACAAGGGTGGGAGGGGACAGATAATAAATGAGGCAATAAACAGATAAAACACGGTTGTTTCAGCTAGTGTTAAAGCTATGAAGAAATTAACACAAGGTTCCGTAATCAACTGGAGGCAGGGGTGCCATTTAGATTTAGTAGTCAACGTGATTAGATGAAACAGGGGAATGGCGTGACCTAAAACACAGATCCCAGTTATAAAAAGGTCTCTGGAGCTGCCAGAGTGGAAGCAGGAAGGCCTCGAGAGCTGCAGACGTCCAGGTCAGAAAAATGGTGGACTGGGTGGAAACAGGCACTGGACACCGGGATTCAGCAGTAGAGCCAAAAGTGTGTTTCCCTTTAAAAGTCCGAGCCGCAGGCACCGGGTTGAGGGAAGCTGGCTCTCGCAGAGGGCGAGAGATCCAATGCGGGAAGAGCCACTCCTCGGAGTGCGCGCGCGCGATGCGGAGGTGGGACTTGGGCGAGTCCGCATGGCTGTCTCGGGCCCCGGATGAGGAAGTGCGGGGAGGGGGGGGGAGAACCATAGAGACGAAGAGGCAGTTGCGGCATGAGCGCCCCCAGACTCTCTCGTCTCCATAGGCTCAGGTAGAGTTGGCGGAGACCGGGCTGCGGTTGGGCTGGCTGAGCAAGCGCCGGCCGTGGAGCTGCCCTCAGGGTAAGAAGCTGCGGGCTGGAAGGCTTCGGTGTAGCCTCCCTGCCTCACTCCGTCCTGAGGAGACCCTCCGCTGGGCGGTGCTGGCTAAAGGGGAGCCTGGGCCCCCGCCCTATCCGGGAGCGGTAAGGAACGGAGGCTGCGCTGCGGGCGGCGAAACGACTCAGGGAGAGGGAGGAGACCAGGCCCCGCGTCGGTAGGGAGAAACGGCTTCTCCGAGTTACAGCTCCGACGTGGGAGAGAGCCTCTGCTTAACCTCGATATGGCTTGAGACCCCCAAGTTCTCGGGGAGGAGGAAGGCCCTTGTCGCGGGCGTGCGCTCTTCCTCTGCTCTCCGTTTGTCAGCACAGGGAGACCCACTCCCAGCGTGAGAGAGAGGGATTCTGAACTTATTCTAATGAAGAATAAAGGATAACCCATAAACAAGACCTTTCCCCCCGCTTTGGTCAGCACACCCCAGACGTTCAAGTTGCCGAAAAGTGACACAGGGGATCTTCCATCCCTGTGATAGACTTACCTTCCCTGTTTTATTTTTTACCTTTACCACAAGATACAAAGAAGAAAACCCAAAATTCATATTACCTTAAGTCAGCCTTTCTCCCCGTCCCCCAGTCATGCCCACAGGGGGAGCCTCGCTTCTCTTCCCTAATTCTGTTGGTGTGCGGTGAGCTCCTTTCCCTTGCACAATTAAGAGCATGGCTTTTGGAGTGTAATGGCTTCAAGCCTGTGTCTTCCACTTAACATCTTCGTGACCCTGACTAATTGCTTAACTTCTCTCAGTCTCTGTGAGCCCATTTCTAATGTGGGTACTCTTCGTAGAATTTCCATGAGAGCTAAGGGAGGATTTGTGTAAATGCTTGGTACTTAGTAAGTTTTTGGTAAGTTATTGCTGTAACTGTAACTTTTTTTTTTTACAAAAAACTAATATCTTGCACAGAGAAGTTTTTTTCTGCGCATGTCTCCTCCCACCCCCATAGCAAGTGTTCAACTCACTTTTCTCACAGTAAAGGAAGACATCCCCCACCCCAACCCCCGCGGAGAAAGACACTTCCACTCTCCTTGGATCCTACCATATCTACTGCCCAAATTAACAGAGGGCCTCACTGAAAATAATCAGAAAAAAAGACTTAGCTTTGGGAAACAGGTCTGTACTCTTTAAGAGGGAGGGATGCCAGAAACCAGCCTTTCCTTTGTCCATAGAAGTTATCGCTTTTTCCTGACTGTTTAGAGATGTCCTCTCCCACTCCCCCTACTTGTGCTAGTGACAAAAAATCTTCCTTCTATCTACACCCCCTCCACCTCCTTCATAAGAGGGCAATTCCAACTTATTCCTTTTGCTTGCTCTCCCAAGAAAAATAATACTCTATACCTTTGAAGAGAGGACTATTTCCTTCTGCATGTCTAGAGTGGCGCAGATGGTTTTTTTCCTCCTCTTCCTTTGAAAGAGATGAAAATCTTTTATGCAGGGAGTCTTTGTCAGTAGAAATCAGGAGCATTTTCACTGTTTCACTCCCCATGTGGAGACAGAGGGATCATTTTTCTGCATACTAAGAAAGGGAGGAAAAGGGAAACTGCATGAGGCTTTTGAGATTTCCCACACACACCATGTTGAAGAGCTGGGCACTGTTTAGTATATGGACTTCCCTGCCTCACTTTCAGTTTGTCTTGAAATCTTGTTAAAAGACTCTTTTTTCTCTGTCCCTCAAGAAGAGGCCCCTTCTCCGAATTCCCTCATGGAGGGATTGACTACAGTGTCTGAATCATTGGAAAAGAAAGCCCCTTTCTCAAGGTGAAAGGAGTGTTGTGAACTTCTGAGGGCCTGATCGTTATTGTGAGTATTGTTCCTTGACACAAACATGGCAGCGCCCAGTGTTATTAACAGCCCCTTTGCATTGGAATTAAAGGGAGGGGAGACCTTCAGACTGGGGATTACTGGGGCACATGGTTTTCTGCTCTGCTGTTTTCTTTGTTTGATTGGTTTTTTTTTTTTTTTTTTTTTTCCCCCTATTTTTTTTCTTACTGCTGTAAATTTTGTACCTCTAGAAATTTTGTTTTGGGGAGTGTTTGAATGACTAAAGCAAAAATTGTCAGTTTGTCAGGTTTTTAGTATCATAAAATGTATTCTAATGAAATTGAGAGCTACAATCTTAATCCTTCAGGGATAGTTTTTTATTTTTTCATGTTTTTGTTATTTGGTGGGATAGGAATTAATACTGCCACATTACTTGAAGGCACACTAGAGAAAAGCTATCTTTTCTATATGTAAAGTGTTCTTAAATTACCTCAAAGGCCTCTGAGTACTTGAAGAGAGGATTAGTCTGAGCACTGCACCACTATTGTTGGTGTCTGCAGGTGTGCTTTGCTGAAAGAAAGAAATAGAAGAGTTATTATTTAGAGTCATGGGATTTTTATGGGTGGCAGGACCCTTTGAGATTATTTTGTTTAACTTGTGTGTTTTACATGTGAAAAACAATCCCAGGAAAGTTCACTTAACTTTTACTTAACACACTCTAGGCAGAATAGGCACCCTGGCCTACTAACTTTGAGACCAGCAATTAGACTGCTCATAGCAGAGCTGCTGCATTTGAAACAGAAAGACTGTGAGATAATTGCTCTCAACTCAAAAGAATTTCTTCTTTTATTGAAATAACTTTACTGCACACTCCCTGTAAATATTAGTAATTTTTTTCCAGGAATGAGTCCATTCCCTAAAGTCTAATACTTATTGGTGTTATGGTAAAGATGACAAGCCAGTAGCAGCTGAGAAGAGTCCAGCATAAATCTGATTTATTTTTTGCTTATATCTCAAACTAGATAATTATCTGGTGTCCTCACCCAACAGGTTGGTTATAAATCATTAGTAAGGATTAAGCTGTAAATCCTGGGCTGGCCCGTGGCTCACTTGGGAGAGTGCGGTGCTGATAACACCAAGGCCCCGGGTTCGGATCCCATATAGGGATGGCCGGTTAGCTCGCTGGCTGAGCGTGGTGCTGACAACACCAAGTCAAGGGTTAAGATCCCCTTACCGGTCATCTTTAAAAAAAAAAAAAAAAAAAAAAAGCTGTAAATCCTTGTCTACATTTTATAAGCATGTGTTACTCTTTCCTTTTACTTCAAGTTTATACAACACTTTAATGTAATGTAAAAACTTTAATAGTTGAGGCAGAGAGCTGACAGTTGAAGATACTGATAAAGGGATAATAAACTTAGCAGATGTTTTTAATTGCTGTGCATGAAAAAAATGGTTAGAATAAATTTTAACGTAATACATACTCACTTTAAAAAAAAAAAAATCATACAGATAAGTCATTGGTAATCCCATCACCCAAGGTAATATTGTTGATATTTGGTTTATATTCTTGCAAACATTTTTCTAGTGCATTATATTTTACCAAAATAAGAGTCCTGATGTTTGTTTAGTTTAATAAAATATCCTGGGCAGCTTTCTGTTTAGAGAGATATTTCCGCATCATCATTTTTTATTGCTCCATTGAATTCAGAAATTTAGTTTTAAAGAACTTGAATGTCTTCTTAAAATTGTGTTCTGGTCTTGTGGCATTACCAGTATTTTGATAGATGGTGAAGTGAGCTAGTGAGCTGAGAATAATTTTAATCTATTTAGTCTTGCATCTGAATATCACTTCATCTCTGAGGGTTCCAGCTGTTGTTCAAGAACAGTGTTCAGCTGTTCTTGGTAACTCAGCTGCAGATTCTGCTCAGAAATTTGAGATGCAGAATTGGACTAGGAGGAAGGGGAGGGAGTGATTGTTTTGCTTCCACAGCCAATGTGCCTAGTTGTTTCACAGGTTGAAAATTTTTAGAATTCTGTCCCAACGAGAGTATCAAGAGATGATAGCCTTATGGAGTTTGGCAGTTATCTTTGATAACCGAGGCTTTAAAATTCCGTTTTCGCCAATGCCAATTTGCATGTAGGTGCAGGCATAGAAAAGATAACAGCACTGTTCTCCCTGAGGAAAATTTTGACCCGTTTTGTGTGATTATCAGTATTGACTCTTTATGATAAAGATCTGTTTAGTAAATGTGTGGTTGTGCATGACCCTATATGGAGCAATGTTTGGAATGAAATCTTTAACTAGGACTGTAAGGATGGGAAAGGAGTGGGATTTCTTAGAGACACTGCAGGAGCTGAGTTTATAGGCTACAAGTGCTGGTCGAACGGCCCGGAAACGGAAGGTCAGATATGGTAGTGTCTGGGGATTCAAGTCTGAGCTCTAGAATAATGACAGTGCCATTGCTGAGAGAGGCAACAGGATTGAGAATAAGCACGTAAATTTACTAAGGGCCTTTTATTGGTTTTTGTTTCTCAAAGCTGTTTGCATATAAAAAGACTGAATTAGGGCCGAGCCCATGGCGCACTCGGGAGAGTGCGGCGCTGGGAGCGCAGCAGCGCTGCCGCCGTGGGTTCGGTTCCTATATAGGGATGACCGGTGCGCTCACAGCGCTCACTGGCTGAGCGTGGTGCGGCCGGTCTCAAAAAGGACAAAAAATAAATAAGTAAATAAAATAAATAAAAAGACTGAATTATTCATCAGATCAAACAGGTTCTATTTTAGACATGTTAAATTTTGGGAGTGCCATCCTTATGAGTGAAATGTAGATCAGAAATTGAGAGAAAGGGCTGGCCTGGTGGCACACTCGGTAGAGTGCGGTGCTTGGGAGCGCAGCGGCGCTCCCGCCTAGGGTTCAGATCCCATATAGAGACCGGTCCGCTCACTGGTTGAGCGCGGCGCGGGCGCGACACCGAGGGTTGCGATCCCGTTGCCGGTCACGAAAAAAGACAAAAAGGAAAAAAAAAATTGAGAGAAAGGTTGGTGTCAGGGACAGGTTTCCTTTTTTATAAATCAGCTTTGTTAAGATATAATTCACATACTATACATTTCACCCATTTAAATTGTACAATTCAGTGGTTTTTGGTATAGTCACAGAGTTGTATAGCCATTACCACAATCAATTTTAGAACATTTTTATTACCCCAAAAAGAAATTCTGTCCATTGGCTGCAACTCCCTACTTTTCCAGCAGTCCCACCCTTAAGCAACCACTAATCTTTCTGTTTCTATAGATTTGCCTATTCTTGACATTTTATATAAATAGGATCTTATAACATGTGGTCTTCGGTGACTGTCTTTTTTTCATTTAGCATAATGTTTTCAAGGTTTGTTCATGTCGTAACATGCATTAGTTATTTATTTCTTTTTATGGCTGAATAATATTTTATTGTATGATTATACCACATTTTGTTTATTCGTTCATCGGTTGATGTATATTTGGGTTGTTTCCACTTTTTAGCTATTGTGAGTAGTGCTGCTGAGAACATTTGTGTACAAGTTTCTGTGTGGACATGTTTTTTGCATATATACCTACTAGTGGAATAGCTGTGTCATATGGTAACCCCATGTTTAAAAGGACAGTTTTGAGTCATCCTTATATCAGAGAGACTACAGGAAAAGTGGAGGTCATCAAGAAAGTGAAGCCTAAAAAGGGAGGAGTCAATATTAACTTTTGAGAATACCTATACCTCAGTGGTAGGCAGGGGAAGAGCTCCCAGGCACAAGGTGGCAGAGAGGCCCAATGAGCTGATCGCAATCAACAGATCTGCTCTTTTACAGTATCCTTTCTTATTTTTGCACCTATTCTTCCAATCTGTATGTGGTATGACAACCAAAAACTGGATTGTGTATATTGTTGAGGAAGGGAATCTGAACCAGATTAAAATCGAGCATTTCCTACTTATTTTTGGCCTCAAGGAACAATTTTACCTCATCTCTGCTTACCACACACACACACACACGCACACACGCACACACGCACGCACTCACAAATAGCCTAAAATCTTAAGTGCCCCCAGAAAGCCAGGAGCTAGAGGATGGAAGAGAAAATTCTAACGCTAAGAGGGATACAGTTCTCTCTGCATTGTTTATGAAAGCCTTTCACATCAAGAATATCATTTGATTCTCACTCTGCTCTTGTATGCAATAGCTTATCTCTCCTTGCTAGTTTTTTGTATTCAGTTTTTTTTTTTGTTTGTTTGTTTGTTTGTTTTCCTTTTTGTCTTTTTTCGTGACCGCGACCGGCAACGGGATCGCAACCCTCGGTGTTGCGCCCGCACCGCGCTCAACCAGTGAGCAGACCGGTCTGTATATGGGATCCGAACCCTCGGTGGGAGCGCCGCCACACTCCCAAGCGCCGCGCTCTACCAAGTGCGCCATCAGCCGGCCCATATATTCAGTTTTTTTAATCAACCCTTTGTGTTAGTTAAATGTCATGGATCAGCAATCTGATTTCGTCTAATTTCTGTATTTTAAGTTGGTAGTATAACTTTATATCCTTTTACTTTTTGGGAGCCTTCTTTAAAACTCATCTTCTTTCTCTTGTTTAGGGTTAGAGAAGGCATCAAGAATGAAAGCATGAAGTATCTTATTTGGTTAAACAATTTTTTTCTTGGTTAGGTCAAAGCAGATTTTGTTGTGGAAACAGCACACATTTGGTAGACTAAAACAGAAGAGTTACCAGCCAAGATACGCTGGTCCTGAGTATGTGTGTGTTTTGACTACTTTTATAATATAGAATGGTGAACTACTTAGACTTAAATATTTTAGCAAATAACCTCTGTTTCCACTGTCCAGTGCAAGAAATGAAACATCAACATGGTAGAAGCCCTCTGGGTATACCCCCTTTTCCTCTCTGGTAACTATGTAATATTTTAGGCAGGTCACTTTTAACCTCTTCAGGTGTGGTGTTACAGTCTATAATGGGAAGATGATAGCTGCCCTAATTAGCTCACAGGGTTGTGAGAATCGAATGAGTGGTGACTGTGAAAGCATTTGGAAAAATCTCAAGATCTCAAGATGCGGGATAAAAGTCAAGAAAGATTCTGCTAAATGCTAAAGAGCTGGCTTGGTATCGTCTTGTGCTAGCCTGGGTAGAGAATAGTTCAGATATTTAGTAAGCAGTAAAGGAGTGGAGTTCCATTTCCTCCATATCCTCCTTCAAAGTGGCAAAATGTATCAAATTTCTTCAGAGTCCCTCAGTGTATATTCATTCAACAAATATTTACTGAGTACCTACTATGTGTCAAGCATCTATTCCAGGCAGTGGGGATGTAGTAGTGAACAAAATGGGTAAGGTACATGCCCTGAAAACAAATGGAAAACCATTTTTTCATTTTCTAACTTATGTTAGGTCTATACTAGGATGTATAGGCATGTCTTACCCTCATCTACATTTGCTGGCCCTTCATGTTTAAATAGAGAATTGTTCATAAGGCAGCATTTGAATTGAGATTGGACAGATACTTACTAAAGGTTGAAGTATTTTTTTATCCATAAATTCACAGTCTACTAAGGAGAAGTGTTTGGTGTCAGATAATACTGGCATTTGAAGTTGAATTTATTTTTCTTAAAATAAAAAGAACTGGTTTGAACTGAGACAGCTTTCTTCTACACTGTCAAGGTTTTAAACTTTTATCCCTTCCTTTGATTTGTGTCAGGGTGAACTGTTCAATGTAAAAGACTTGACTCCATAACCTACATCTGCCCTAATGTTGTCATCTGGAGTAGAGACTCAGCCAGTTCCACTTGATTCCTCCATGTCTGCTGTGGTACAGGAATTATACTCTGAACTCCCAGTAAGTGTCTCCAAAGAGCTTCATGCTGACTCTGAGCCAAGTATAATTCCAGGTGATGTAAAACCTGGAGCCTCAAGTTCTCTTATAGGTCAGAGTAGGGCATTGCCCTTGGAGCTGCAGAGGACTCATGCAGAAAGTTGTTGTGAAGAAACCTTGGAGACCGTGGATCATGGGGTTGAGCCTGGGCAGTGTGGGCTACTGGACCCCACAGCAGGAGGTTGTATGGCTTTCGGGATCTTGGATAGGGAAAAGAAAACCAAGAGCATGGAACTGAAGGTCTTCAGAGATCAAGGGGACCAGGTGGAAGTTATAAGAGACCCCTGTGAGGAAACAAAGGAAGACCCATGTCAGCATTCCACAGCTGCTGAAGAAAAGGTCTGCCCAAGTCAGGTAAGAAAGGAAATCAGGATTCAGATGAGTTGAGTGTGAATGACAGCTTTCCAGAGTAAAACTTCTCATGATTAAAATATAGATGCTGACAGGTAGCTTATGATTTATTCTTGAAATATTTCCAAAATGTTGATTTTGATGTTAATTTTCTTTAAAACATTTGTGTCATATCAGACACTTGAAGAGAGGAAGTGTTTAGTAAAAAAAAAAAAAAAAAAAAGTGTCACTTGTCTGAAGCAGCTACTGTATATGGAATGTTGAGTCTCTTTGTGAAAATCATATGGTACATCTGCATCTGATGTTAAGAAATGATGTGTAGGTGTTATAACACCAAAGTCAAGAGTTCGGATTTCTTACTGTCCAGCCACCAAAAAACAAAACAAAACGAAGAAATGATGTGTACTCAATCTTTAAGTTTTGGTAGTGTCATTATTAGGGTGAAGTGTCACAGAGAAATCTTTGAGGGAGGCTGTTGACGCAGGTAGGGCTTCATATGATGGATACCCTAGAGGGATCTCTGTATTTCAGGAGCTGGTCCTTAGCTTTGCAGGTCCAGAAACTTGACTTTTATCTTTCAGTATATCAGAGATGATGGTCTCCAAAGGACTGACTCATACTAACCTGCTTCATGAGAGACTAACATGTAAATCAGAAAGCCAGTTCTTTAATACACAGTGAGAAGTGGACTCATTACTTAATAGGTATGGTCACACACTGGTGGTCAGTATGTCTTCTTCCTGTAGACAAGCCTACATGGGAAATCAAATTTCAGTCTGTGAGTTTGAAATTAAAGTAAGAGGGATTAGTTAGATGAAAACAATGGTTAAGAGCTATAATAGCCTGATAGGCTCAAATCACTAAAGGAATATATCTGCCAAGTGGACTAGAAAACTTATTCTCTCCTCTGGATGGTGCCCTAGGCCAGTGGTCAGCAAACTTTCTGTAAAGGACAATATAGTAAATATTTTAGGCTTTGTAGGCCTTATGGTTTCTGTTGCAACCACTCAGCTCTATCATTGTAACATAAAAGCAGGCATAGACAATACGTAAATATTCCAACGAAATTTTATTTATAAGCACAGGTGGCTGGCCTGTGGGTTGTAGTGTGCTGACCCTTGCTGTAGACCCACTAATAAACTCATATTCTCTGGACTTCCTGGGCTAGGCTCCATTCCCACCTGATAAATACATTATTTCTTTACACAGGATACAAGGTAATTAATTGTTGTTTGTAGGCTTTATACATCGACTGTAATTACAAATGAATGAAGCAGTAAGTAATACTTGAACATGATATCAAAGTTTATGCTGTGATGTCTTACCCTTAAAATATAAAGTATAAAAAAATTTTTTAAATGTGAAGTAAAATGGATACAGCATACATGCATATATGTATAGGAGGGGACTTCAAAAAGTTCATGGAAAGATTCGGCAACATATATCACAGAAAGGACTTATATTTCTTATATATAAAGAACTATTGAATTGATGAATGAAGAACCAAAACCCAATAGAAAAACGGGGAAAAGACTTTATATCACTCTTTGTGTGTGTGTGCGTGCGTGCGTGCGTGCATGTATGTGTGTGTGTGTGTGAGAGAGAGAGAGAGAGTTGCTTAAACATGTGAAGAGATGGTCAGCCTCACTCTAATATAGAGAAATGCAAAGTTAAACAAACTGAGATACCACTTTTTACCTATCAGATTGGTGAAAATGAAAAAATATGACAACACATCTGTTTAGCAAGGCTATGAAGACACACCTATTTTCATACATCACTGGTGGGAATGTAAACCAGCATAACCTTTCTGAAGAAGAATTTGGCAGTACTTAAAACTACATATGCCTTGACCTATTGATCCAGCACTCTGGTTTCTAAGAATCTATCCTGGGCTGGCCTGTGTGGCTCACTTGGGGCAGAGTTGTGCTGATAACACCAAGGCCACGGGTTCAGATCCCTATGTAGGGATGGCCAGTTAGCTCACTTGGGAGAGCGTGGTGCTCACAACACCAAATCAAGGGTTAAGATCCACTTACTGGTCATCTTTAAAAAAAAAAAAAAATGAATCTATCCTGAAGACGCACTTTTCAATGGTATGAAAATAACTTTGTAGCAGTTTGTAATTGCAAAATATTGGAAACGACTTAAATGTCCATTTATTGGAGAGAGATTGAATAAACTATAATGTATGGTATATCCATACAGGGAGTACTATAAAGAATGAGGAGGATCTCCATGTATTGATATGGATTTCCAGGTGTGTCAGGGACCCGCAAGACCGCTTCAAAGTTTTGTAATTCACTAGAACTCACAGCACTCAGCATTTTGTTGTACTCACAGTTAACATTTGTTATAGTGAAAGGATATAGAGAAAATCAGCTAAGGGAAAAGGGGCATAGAGCAAAGTCAAGAGGAAACAAGGTGCAAGCTTCTAAGAGTCCTCTTCTGGTGGGGTCACACAAACTTAGCCTATTCCAGGAACAAATTGTGATGACACATGTGAAGTGTGGTCTACAATGGAAGCTTGTTAGAAATTAGGCGCCCAGGGTTTTTACTGGGGTCTGGTCACGTGGGCTTCCTCTGCCTGGCACATACTAAAATTCTAGACTCACAGAGGAAAGCAAATGGTCAGCATAAACCACATTGTTTTTTAGGCACAGTGAACCACTGCTATCATTTAGGGAATGGTGGAAACTCTCCTGAAATTTAATTCGCAGACTCTAGCCAAGGCCAAATTTATAAGCAGGCCTTTCTGAGGATAGCAGTCAAGCCTGGTATGTTGACCTTTTTCTGCAAACTAGGTTATACCATTACTGAAAAAAGTAGAATGCAAATGAATATCTATAGTGTCCTACCTTTCATGCAAGAAAAAAGGGGAAATAAGCATGTATACAAGTGTCCCCTCATTTGTATAAAACCCACACAAATGTACACACAGTAAGGATAAACTAGACTCTACAGAGTTTGATTACTTTGGAGCAGGGTGGAAAGAATGGGGGAAATGGGGAATGGGAATGAGATAGAAGGGATGGGAGAAAGTGATGCTTCTGTAAATGCATCTTTTTGTATAGTTCTGACTTGATACTTGAATAACTTATTAGGTATTAGATACTTGAATAACTTAAATAACTAATTAGACAACTAGGATGTAAAGGGGGGGATCCCAAAGTTAAATACAAACTGTAACAAATGAATCTAACTATTACAAATAACAAAATTACATGGGAGGTGGGTAGTCCAAGTAACTTGAGGAAACAGTATTTTGACTATATACTCTTAAAACTAATGCCAAAGAAGAACAAAAAAATTTAGTGAATTTGTTTTTCACAGGGGCAATTGACTTAGCAATTCCTTTTTTTTTTTTTTGCACCTGGCCAGTACAGGGATCCGAACCCTTGACCTTGGTGTTATAACCCCATGCTCTAACCAACTGACCTAACCAGCCAGCTCCTTAGCAATTCTTAAGCAAAGTAGTTATGTGTATTCTAGGTTTGAGCAAATAAGTAAATATATTGTGGATAATGAGAGCCAGCTTTCTCTCTCTTAGAGAAGGAAATTATAAGGACAGAGAGGGGAGGCTACGGTGAACTGTGTGGTGTCAAATTAAATTAGTTACCAGTATGAGCTTAGAGTTATTAATATATACAGATAGATATAGAAATATGTTAATGTGGGTGTGTGAGATGGGGTCTAGAAGCAGTGACAGACACCTCATAGCAGTGAGCACATCTAGTACCCCGGTCTTGGTTTCTACTCATCTTCCAATAAAAGGAGCCTAGACTCCTTGGAGAAATGGCTGTTCCAGGGCAAGAGAGGAAAAAACAAGGTGGGTCTGGAATGATTTGTGGTGAAATGCTCAGAAAATTATGGGGACATATCAAAAGTACACAGGGGCCAACTTGCAGGGACTCCCAATGGCCAAATCTGGGTTGAGTTGAGCTTAAAATAAGTCATACTGATGAATTATAACCTGTAAAATAAACAAATATCCATGAGTCCATACTGATATAAAACAAATATATATTGAGGAAAGAGAGGTCTTATAAAATCCCAATTAATAAATATATAGGGAGTGATGTAAATAGAAAATCACCATTTGGCAACCATCACAGTAATAATCTCAAGCAAGAACCATCAATGGATGTTCAAACTAGTGGCTAAAAGTTTGAATGAGAAACAGAAATATTTGCATAATCTCAAAGTATCTCCCCAGAAGATATCTATTAATTTCAAGGGAGGAAATAGTAACTTTACCGTGGAGAAACCTGGCAGACCCTGGCTGAACCAAATGATTAAGTTTGCCTCTCCAGGAATGAGACATCCCAACACCATGTGCCTCCTGATAGAACATGTTGAGAGGAACCAGCATCACTTCTTTGGTATTTTGCCCCCAAAATACATATCTAGAATCTAATCACAAGGAAACATCAGACAAAGCCAAACTGAGGAACATTCTCTCAAAAAATGTCAAGGTCATGAAAAATTAATACCTAAAGAACTCTCATACCAGTTTTAAGGAGCCAGGATTGGATCCTGTTCCAGAAAAAGGATGTTATTGGGCCCTTGATGAGATTTGAATAAGGTCTGTAGTTGATATTATATTAGTATTAATTTACTGGTATTGATAATTGTGCTGTGGTTGTGTAAGATGTTAAAAGGGGAAGCCTGGATGAAGGCTATACGGGGAATTTTTTAAAGAATATTTGCAAAATTTTTGTATATCTGAAATCACTTCTAAATTAGGTGTTTAAAGACATCTAAAATTAAAAAATATAATAATAATAATAATAATAAAAACTCTTCTTGGTAGAGGCAGACAGAATTTAACTCAATATCAGAGGTAGTTTTTAACAGGTAGGCCAGTCTAGAAATGGAGCAGGTTGCTGGGAGAAGTCATGTTTATGAAGAGGCCAAGTGACTATATTTCAGGAATGTAGCAAAGGGGATTTTAGTTCGGATAACCAACTTCAGAGGACTTCTTTTCTGTCCAAAGATTCTGT